CTCCTTTCTCACTTGAGGTGGAGGTGTCTCACCACTTTCCAATTGAGTAATTATTTCCCTGATGCTTGCGTCTGCTTGCTGTTTCTCTGAGATTTCAGCAAATGAGAAAAAGGGGATAACTGGCAGCCCATGACTGTCATTCCCTTGGAAGCAAGGTGGCAGGGCTTCAGGACTGAGTGCTATGGACTCAACCAAAGCAACTGAGTGATCAGAGCACTCAGAACCTTCACCAGCAAAATAGATGTCATGCCGCTCACAGATGGCTTTGATCACCTCTGGTTGAATGACCTCTGAAGTTTCCGTTTCTGATAGATGGTTGGCAGTGAACTTACAGATCCTTTCCTTCTCTTTCACTGAGATATGATCATCTATGAGTCCACCATGTGGCCTTCGTGATAATGCATCTGCGTCCACATTCTGTTTTCCAGCCCTATACTGCAGCTTGAATGAGTAGGTGGAGAGAGCAGACAGCCATCTATAACTAGTCGCGTCAAGCTTGGCAGAGGTTAGAATGTATGTAAGGGGGTTGCTATCGGTGACCACAGTGAAACCAGCCCCATAAAGGTAGTCACTAAACTTTTCTGTGACAGCCCACTTAAGGGCTAGGAACTCCAACTTATGTGCTGGATACTTAGCTTCACTTCTAGACAACCCTCTGCTTGCAAATGCTATAGCCTTAAGCTCACCATCTTGCTCTTGGTATAAGGCTGCACCTAACCCAGTCGTACTCGCATCTGTGTGGAGCAGGTAGGGAAGTTTAGGATTAGCAAAACCCAAGACAGGTGCTGAAGTGAGCCTCTCGATTATGGTGTCAAAAGCCTGTTGACAAGAAGCAGTCCAGCGCTCACCAAATGGCTCTTTAGGATTGCGGTACTTGACATTGGCCTTTCTTTCCTTGTTCTTGCAGGTTGGAGGATATCCAGCTGTTAGCTCATTCAGCGGCTTCACAATTCTGGAGAAATCCTGAATAAACCTGCGATAGTAACCGCTGAACCCAAGAAAGGACCTCAGTTCTTTTAGGTTAGATGGCTTTGGCCAGGTTTTCAGGGCACTAGTTTTCTCTGGATCAGTCTCAACTCCGTTCTGGGAAACAATATGGCCTAGATATCGGACAGAAGACTGAAAGAACTTACACTTCTCTGGTGAAAGTTTGAGACCATATTCCTTCAGGCGATTCAGAACATGCAGAAGGCGCCTCTCGTGCTCTTCAACTGTGTCTGAAAAAATGATAAGGTCATCAATAAAAACTAACACCTCTTTGAGGTTCAGATCACCCATGCAACGCTCCATGCAGCGCTGGAAGGTGCTGGGGGCATTTGTGACTCCTTGCGGCATTCTATTAAATTCATAAAATCCCAAGGGACACACGAACGCGGTCTTCTCCTTATCGGCCTCCTCCATTTCAATTTGGTAATAGCCGGATTTCAAGTCTAAAACCGAAAACCACTTTGAGCCTGTGAGAGCTGAAAAAGCCTCTTCAAGATTGGGAAGGGCATAGGCGTCCTTGATTGTCTGTGAGTTCAATTTGCGGTAATCGATGCAGAGACGGATGGAGTCATCACGCTTCCGGACCACCACAATAGGGGACGCAAAAGGAGACTCAGATTCGCGAATCACGCCTGCATCCAACAGCTCCCTTAAATGTTTTCTCACGGCATCAACATCCTGTGGGTGTATTGGCCGGGCTCTCTGCTTAAAAGGTGTCTGGTCGTGAAGTCTGATGTGATGCTTGACCTGACCTACATGACCAAAGTCGAGGTCATGGTGAGCAAACACTTCTGGCATTGACTTCAATGTTTGTGTTACTCTTTCCTTCCAGTCAGCTGACAAAGGAGAATCTCCAAAGTCAAACTGTAAATCTGGACTAGAATTGTTCTTGTCTTTGACAGAGTCAGGTACATTTGTGTCAGACTTATGTGCTACTATTTGTTGAACAGCACTGAGTTCAGCGATCACTGTTTTTGGTGCGATTGTTACATCATGGGCGGTTTCATTTTTGACTATCACTGCCAATGTGCTCGCCCTTTTCTTAGGCAATGTGATTAAACAATTTGCTACCAGTAGGCCACCAGGCAAGGAGGGTGTTGTTGGTTGCTCTACCAAGGCCCACTTTTCATTAAAGGAGCTCCCAACAAGGGCTACCCCTTCTAAAGCAACAGTCCGTCCAGCAGGAATCGTCTCAGATTTCCCCCCAGACAGTTTTACTTGGCCCAGCTTGCCATTGGGTTGCTGTCTGTGCCTAAGCTCCAAGGCTTTGAGGACTGCTCGGTAGCCATACTGGACAGGTAGGCCAAATTCATTCATGTGAGTAGCAACACTTGAGTACAACACGTCTAGTGTATTGGTGCCAATGAGAATTTGCTCTTGGGCCTTTTCTCTCATGTTTGGAACCACAAGGGCTAAAGTAGGAATCTCAATCTCCTCTCCTACAAACTCTTTAGGAAAAGTGATATCTATCTCCACATAGCCAAAATATGGAACTTGCTGTCCATTAGCTCCTTCAACCTCCAACAAATCATCTAATGATTTAATTTCTTGGTCCTTCAGGTTGCTTTCATAGAAGGACAAGGGGATCGTTGTAACTTGAGATCCAGAGTCTAAAAGACAGTTTACCCTTTTCTCTGCAACACACACTTCAGCAGTGCATTTGCTTCCAACTAACCTCTGTGGCAGCCCACATGGCTGACATTTTGGCTGTCTTTTGCCTTTTTGCTTGGAGGTAGAGGGACTAGTGTTAGACTGAACTCCTGTCTGTCCCACAACAGGAGTTGCTGTCAGTTTAAATGGTGTGGATCCACAGAGCCATTCTGCGTCTCCCACTCCTGCCGTTTTCTTTGAAATTGCTTCCTTTTTGCTGCTACTAGCACGGGGTTAGCCTCATTACTGCATCTCAAGGCTACATGGCCATCCTCTCCACACCGAAAGCAGTACCACGGGCGTGGCCTGGGAGGTGGCTGGTGCTCTGGAACAGGCACTGTCAAGGGCTGCTCAGGAGCAGGGTTGGTCTGCACAGTCACCTTTGCATTTGAGTTTGCGTTCTTACCCCTGCTTTTCCTGTGGGGGGTTAACTGAGCCATTTGAGCCTGTAACTCAATAACTTGTTTCTTCAGGAGATTGGTTTCTGCTACAGCCTTAGACTCAGAGCAAACACAGGCAGTTTTCAGTTGAGACCAAACATGCTGTTTGGGTGGGGCTGGCTGTTGTCTGGAAGTACCAAGGTGCTTTTTCATACGTACTGCCTTGTTAGCATGCTTGTCTTCCTCAGTACGCAACAGGAGCAATAATTCAGCAAAACTAGGAGGGTTTTTAATTTTTTGTTCAAGCTGGAGCTCTGCTATTAAGGAGTCATCCCAGCAGCCTCTACAAAACTGCTTCAACAACTGCCTATCAAACTCATCAGCAGAGGCCCCTCCTCTCCTTGTAGCGGTGTTAAGCACAACTTGGAGTCTGTGAAGGTAGTTTGATGGTTTCTCACCAGCATTCTGCAGAGTACCCATAAACTTAGCAAACAGCTCATCTCCATCCTCCACAGCACCATAAGCTGAGTCAAGAAGCTGCAAATATGCAGAAGGTAAAGCTTGTGAATCAAGATGCCTAATGAAATCTGAAGCAGGGGGCAACAAGCTGTCAACAATCTTCCTGGAGCGACTTAAATCAGACAATGCTGGGTCTGTTAAAAGAAGTTCCACACTAGAGCGCCAGGTCTCGTAATCCGTTTCATTATTTGGCCGCGGCAATCGGCCTGAAAAGACTCGAAGGCGTGAGGCAGCATAATGGTGTGGCGGTGCCTCCTCATTTCGCACAATATGCTCCACAACGACCTTTTGTATCTCAGGGGGGTTGAGATCACTGGGGCTTAGATCTGGGCATGAACTCACCGTCACTGGTGGTATTCTCGGATGTTGCTCTTTGGTCAGGTTTTGTATCTCTGGAGCTGAGCGTAGTGCAGCACCCTGAATAGTGGTATCAGGAGCAATTCTAGATTGCATTGCACCTTGCGGTAATGAGGCCGAGCTGAAATTAGGTGCCTGACTTCCCTCATGTTGACTCCTGTCCACAGGGGCATTTTCTACTGTGGCTGCAACTGTAGAGCTCAACTTAGTTAGTTCATCTTGCAAAAGAAGCTGAAATGACTTCCCTGTTAACTTAGCAATGTTTTGCAACTCAGACATGTAACTCTCAGTAGCACTATTGCTAACCACAGGGGTATAGACACTAGCAAGCGCACACACGTGGAAAGTCACATCAGGCCGAGTGGGGCTTTTGTATTTAAATGGCAACAAAGGAGCAAGCGTTTGCAACGCAGTACCAAAAGTGAACTCAACAATTGCATTGTTATGGAACTCTGAGTTCGGTTCATCTATACGCAAGACACGGTTAATAGAACCATGAGTCTCTAGATAGCTCTGTACTTCATTGTCCACCTCAGTCCAGGTTAACCCTTCAACCATGACAGAGTTAGGGATCTTTACCAGCTCACGTGTCACTACCTCCATGTCACCAATTTGGCAAATTACTGTTATAATGACTGAAGATAAGAATTTTTGCCCAAAAAGGAGAAAAAATGAAAACAAAGCGTCAATAGTCTGCCACCTGCTCCTGGCTGGCTCGCCAAGTTTCTGTAACACCCCTTTCAACACTTGGGATACAGATTTAAATGGTCACCTGTGTGTTGGGCCAATAGCTGAGGTTCGACTACTGGAGCAGTGGATGACTAATGAAACGCTCTGAGAACTTGGTTTGATCAATTTGTATTCACAATTAAAGAATCTTACATACATACAATGAAAACAATAACAGTACATGAAAGGAAAAATTGGGCCCAAGTCATGGAAAATAATAAACAAAACACACACAACCCCGGGGGATTTGACTCAGTCTCTCTCTCTCGTGTCAGCCGACACCCTTAAGTGTGAGTCCAGCAATGAGGATTCTCCTTGCAGGGTGTGCAAAGGAGGAATGAGGTGCAAATCTGTTCTACCACTTAAGTAGAGTTTGTACAGTTCACAGTTCGTCCAAAGAATTTAGTTCTCTTCTTAAAGCAATCATCTCAAGGATCCTGGAAGGGTGGCTCGCCATCTTTGGACTGGATCATCACTGAACTGTACGCCCAAGTAAAAAAACCTGACCTGTATAACACAGTCAGAATAACATTCAAAAATCTATATTCAGTCATTTATACATATATCCTTTCTTATGTTTCGTTCATACATACTAACAAATTTGTATTTTACCTTTCCAGTATACAGAAAGAACGACAGAATATTCCAAAACATAGACAATGATAACTTCTTACCAAAGTAACCAATAAAATGGGCTCTCCTGGAGCTTCAAAATGGCGATGGTGAAGCGTTGTAGCACAACTACAAAGAAACATAACCCCATTTTCTTTAAACTGTATTCACCTCACAATGAACACAATTAAGGATTGATATAGGAACATATCAACATCTACAGCATACATATGACTTACAATCTTTAAATGCATCGTCATAGGAAGCTAACAAACTCTAACATACAGTTTAATCCTCACAATCACACATGTACAGCCACATGGCTAATAGCAATAGCCGCGATAGCCGCTAGCATGTCATCGTTAGTGGCTTAAACTCACAATATTCTTGTTCACAACAAATTAACTCACCCAGAAGAATCCGAGCAGTAACAAACTCCTTTCTGGGTAACAACAATTCCTAGATAGCTTATTTCCACCGTACAGGATAAAAACAACCACGCTTTCCACTTGGAAAAACGGACTTTTCTTCCTCTCCCTCTCTCCTGATATCCGTAGCTGCTATGCAGTGAACGGCAGGAGGCGGTACTTCCCCCTGTATACTTCAAGGACCATCAGGACATTATAGACATCTTCTATTTTATTAATTCTCAACAAAATAATTTAACTTAATAAAACTTAAGAGTGAACTCAAAATACTAACTTCACTCATAACACACTAAAACCCTTAGTAACTCTCCAGGGTTACACTATACTCTGTCCTCATTTTACTCCAGTGCTGAGCGATAGGCAGCTATAAGCAGAGTTCTCTGCATGGGCAGGTGAAATTGACCTTTTCCCCCATCTGACAGTCAGTCGCGCTGACTCGGTAATTAATTGCCATGTTAAATCATGCTAAATTATTTAATCAGGGAATGCAAAAGGGCATAATATTTCAAGGCCATGCAAGATAATGATATCGAACAAAATTTATGTAATAGAAAAGGGAATCTATGGACTAGTGGTCCTGCTGTAATGATTTTAAACACTCCTGAGGCAGCAAAAGTTTTTAATTTGTTATTCATCAAGATACTAATGAATAACAAAAAGCTATTAAAGTCTTCATATGTCATCATTAAGTAGATTTTCCTGGTTTTTAACCAGTTATATGCACTTATCCTAAGACGTACCAAGCCTATGATTTACCTTTTTCCACCCTGCGGTCTGTCCTCGCTTCATCTGTTATAAAACAAAGCCTGGCTCCAAGTTTTCAGAGCACAGAACATTTGCTGTAGAGGTTAGTTTGGAATTCTTGTAGCATTTTTTTTTTTCATTCATTCATTTCTGTTGCAAATTTGGTAGTGTTTTGCCTGGTCTGTTCAGAATACAACAAAGAAGGGCGAGCCATGCTGAAGCAATTTCAGCCATGTCAGCATTTATTAATAGCAGCTCAACAAATATAAACCAAACGAACAAATGAAGGTGGCCACCCAGGAGAATAGCTGAAAATCAATCAAATCATAGCAAATGTAAATCTTGCTGGGTGGCTAAAAGGCACCAGCCTTCAAGGTGGGAGGAGAGAGAACCACGGTCAGAGAAAAGAAGCTTATACAGACTCCTGATCACGTGAATTCAGTCTGTGAGTGCGAAAACAGAGTCAGGGATTTGTATCAGAAATAAAAAGGAGGAAGCAGAAAGCAGGCCAAACAGCAACTATTGACGCAAGGCCATCACACTAATTGGTTTTAAAAACAGTTCCAATAACATCAGTGTCAGTGACTCATTTTTATAAGACTATTATACTCTCCAATTTCTAAATTTGATTAGGCAGACGTAAAACTGCCAGTATTAATTAAAATCCTGCTATTATTATTACTATGGTGCCAAAATACAGGAAGCATGTGCTTCAAGATTTTTCCCAAGTGTCACTTATCCAGAGAGCTCAAGGTTGTTCATTTTTGTTTACTGTTTGGTAACGTCAAAAAATAACCTTTAGTTTTAGCTTTTTCATAAATATAGACACATCAATAATGTAAACCGATAGACAAGGAATACTGTGGTTTGACTTACTTTGCCATCCTGTTAATTTAGCTCATCCAAAAGAATGGCTTATGGGATATCGAAGCATCCATCGATGGTCTGTTAGCTCGATTATCTCTTCTGCAATGCCACAATTCAAGTATTGGTTAGATTTTAGTGAAGTTTGTACACAATAATCTGCTAATGGGGCTTCACCGAAACTTCCCAAGATTATGGTCATATTTGTAATTTCACTGGTGCTTTTTCCACTTTTACAAGAATTGCTACTTAAGTTTTTGCAGATATAACTGTTTGTGAACCTCCGTGGATTTTAGATGTCATTAGTTTGTGTAATTCAGCCAACGAATGACAAGAAGCAACATAACATTCTTCTGTACTTCATCTATTATATTATTAACCTGTCAATTGTGATTGCTCATGAGCCGGATGAGCTATTTTCTGATTGACTTTCCATTCAGTATAACAAGAGAGTGGAATATTAGATATACTTTAAACTTAGATTAAAGGGGGTAAAATGCCACTCTGTTGCATTTCAAAAAATTGTTATCATGCATCAACTAATACACATAGCTTGTAAAAACCAAAACGTTTTTTTTGTCAACATCTAAAATCATGTCATTTTATTTTATTTTAATTTTATTACATGATTATGTGCATCCGTGTATAGTGTATCTCTAATAGCCTTAAACCTAAAACTCTCTCACACCAACAGGGTAACCACAATCACAAAAATTTATAGAGGTGGACAGATAATAATAATAATAATCCATTATTATTATTATTATTATTATTATTATTATCTGTCCACCTCTATAAATTTTTATATGTTTCTATGCAGCCTCAGACTATAGAGTGGGGCTAGCTCTGCAGCACTGCCTCAGTTAGAGCACGGGGAGGGTAGCCACTGTTCCACTGTCTTTCTTTGCTGTTATCAATTTTAGGCAGACAATTAGGGGATAGACCATAGTGCTTTGATGTCACTGTCAGCCTCGTGGTCTTTTGAGCCGAGGCTTGATCGGCTCTAATTCCAAGTAGAGTACGGCGTTTGAAGCGAGTAAAAACAACAGTTTGGATGAAGCAATTGTTTGTCCAGCCTTGCTTCACTCTGGAAATAATCTGACGTGTACTTTGCACATACATCAACACTGCATATGTAGTACAGACACAAAACGGGAAGATAAATGTCCAAAAATCCTTCATATTGCCAATTTTTTTTTAGCAAGAGAATTAGATGATTATTTTGTTATTACATGTTTCAAATATAATAATGGTAGTAAAGTTTTTTGTCAGTAAGATGATTTTTCTATCGTTTGCTTTCATTTTACTGCAAAACGAATGAGTCTCAGTGAACAAAATGAACATACTTGATTGAATACTGTTGATTTCACTGATATACTAAGAGCAGGCAGCATTTGGTGATGATTTTAACATGAGCACACATCTTTTTTATCCTTTTTTTGCTATGCAAAAAAAAAAAAAATACAGTAATAGCACATTGTGGTAACAGGACAAAGGCTTGAGTGAGCGAGAGAGGAAGGTGAGGTTGTTAAAGCGAGGGATGACATAACCTGGCTCTGAGCCCAGCTTCCTGAGAGCTCACCGCCTTTCTTGTTGCTATGGTTACTTGCAGCAAGTTGCCAAGTGAGGATGGTTCCGTCATCAGCAACGAATCAGAGAAGCCCAATTCCGGCAGGGGCCTGACGGTGTCGAAAATCACAGCACAGCAGAAACTGACAAAGGAGGAGACTCGCAAGAGGGACGGTGAGAGTTACACGCTGATGCAAATACAAATAATTTGCTCTATAGCTCCTTTGCGGACGAGGTCAGGTGTATGACAGATGTTTTTCCATTCTCTCCTATGCAAAACACTTGCATAGGAGGGATGTCTACTACATTTCTACTGCGGCTATTTTTACATTCTAAAGTAGGTACCTCTTCAGCAATAAGCATAGATAGATCTGATCAATATTACATGAAACAGAGAGTCTGCTGGAATAATACACCGTGTCAGACTAGCAGATGCTGTGACACACTGACACAAACACATGCTTGAACACATGTATTAATGCAAAACATAAAAAAAGCCAAACGACCATGTGAAGTCAGCCTTCTCGTGCTCTTTGAGCATTCTGTGCAGTTTATGCGAAATCCATTTAGATGTTGAATTATTTGCTCTTCTATTCTCGTCCACTGAAGCTAAATGTTCTATATGTGGTGGATGTGAGTGAAATTAATCTAATACTCTTTAAATTAGATCAGGGGTGCTCGATTATGATATTCTTAATGCTTAGTTTTGAATAATTCATCAGCTGAGTTAAGGGAAAGCTAGGACTGAATCTAGTTTGTCTGATGCTGAACGAGGAACTAAAGTGCAAAGTCAGTTTTTCTTCATTTATCACAGAGATGCAATGCCACAAGTTTGGAAGTCAAATCTATCTTTGTGATCTATTGTCTCCATCCAAAAACTCGTTTGCTGACACAGACAACTGATGTTTGACATAATCCCAAGTGTCAAGAGGTGACAGGAGCCCTTGGGTGGGCAGGCGGGGGTGGTTATCAGACAGACAGACAAAGAGAGAGTGTGACCGTTTATTCCTCTTTGACTGACAATGTAATGATTAGAGGTATTTGTAGTCTCTTTGTGAGTGAACTCCTTCTCTGTTCTTCAGATCCATATGACACCTCCTCTGGCTCCCTGCAGCTTATCTCCATAAAGCCAGTGGCAGCACAGACCAACTACTCACATCCGGCATCCTCTGACCGCAGCCAGGACTCGGCTATTGTCAATGGAGAGGTGATGCAAATGCACACATCCTCTCAGTTGGATACTTTTTGAACAAAAAAAAACGTGTCATATAAGCTGGAAGACATAGAATTCTGTCCTTGCATACTTCTCTCTTAAGTTTAAAATCGCCAGGAAAAAGTTGGCACAAGGTCACATCTTTCTGTGTGCTACCCACAAATAAGCACATTTTTAATCAACATCAACTTACAGTGAGTCTAAAGAAGAACCTGGAAGTGGATAGTTCAATAATTTATTCTTGGGTTTTAATTTATTTTTCATGTCAGTTGTAATACTGAAGCAACATAATGAATTTTTAATAAGGGTTCATTTTCTATTCACACCTGCCTTCTAAGACAAACCTGTAACTGCATACAGAATAACCTCATGTCTGCATTTGTTCTGATTGTCCTCTCTTCTGCTACATCCTGTGGCCTACCCTCTCTGCAGGTGAACTTGGCACTGAAGCAGAAGTCAGACATTGAACACTACAGGAACAAGCTGAGGCTGAAGGCTAAAAGGAAGGGCTATTATGATTTCCCGTCCACCAATGGCAGCAGCAGTGGCCGGGCTGTGGCACAGAGACAGCGACACGGTCATGAGAGGGCTGCCGATGAGCATGGAAGACCGCTGGAGCCTGATGATGAGCGAGGTTCTACTTATGTCAAGTCTCACAGAAGGTGAGGGGAGAGTAGGGAAGCAGCTGGAAACAAGATTTTACTGACTGTCAACACAAAGAAAGATCCATTCTTGCTTACAAGTTTGACCCACCACATGTATCATGTTCTTCATATTGGTTGATTGGACTTTTAATCATGGACTGCTAGCAATCTCTGCTCACCCCTGCTGTGCCTAATTAGCTTACCTCTATAAGTGAAAGTGCCTCCTCTAATACTGTTATTATCCATTTATGCCATAGTAGGTAGTGGGAGTCCCATTAGGCCTTTCTGATTAGACTGATCCAAATTCAGAGCTTCCCTAATGGAGATAATTCAGGGTTTTGGATGGACCACTATGCTGGTTCTGTCCTGTTTCAACCACACAGATGCACAAAAACATGTGTAGTACTTGTACTTTACATTTAGACATCAGAATAACTCACACTCATCTGCTAAGCAGCAATGTTCAAACCAGAAAGTGGGTTTGTGTGTTCACTTGATGACCATTTTACTTTGAAAAAAATAAATCTTTCAAACAATTATTTGAAATCTGTCCCAGAACTTTTCTTTGATATTCTTGGGATTTTCTAACATATCACATCTCATCCCTCTGTTAACATTTCAGGTAGCATGTATACTTTTCCTCGCCCTGTTCATAATGTCTGGCTCAATAAAAACTGTAAGGTTTATTGTCTTCCTTCACCCATCACTACTTGCCACTGCGGGGAAATTAAAACTGAAAGAGTAAATGTTTTAAGTTAATAACAAAACCAGATTTGATTTGCACTGAATCCACTCTTTACTCTAATTGGCAGGCACTCGCAGGTAGGGCAGGCGGCCTATCGAAGCAGACAAAGCTTAAGCAGTCCGAGCCCCGGAGGAACAGAGATGGACCTGCTTGTAATGAGAGAGAGACCCAGGAGAGGCATCCGCAACAGTGGCTATGATGTGAGTTATATTTCAACACCGACCCTGTCTGCCCAACTAGATCATCCAGCTAGCAGTTAAAAGATAACTCTACACAGGTTCAAGTCTATTTTAAAAAATATGCACCAGTTTATTAAAGATTTGGTAATTTTAACTCTTTTTGTTACTCTTGTCCTTGCTGCCTGTGAAGCGATCCTCTGATGGGGAATTAAAATCCACAGGCTTCATTGTGAGTAAAAGATATTTCCACAGTTCAGCTAAAACTATAATGAGGGTTCATCTGTCTGTGTTGGGCAAACAGAATGCATGTCTTTCAAATTTCCAGCTAATTTTAGTGCAAATTTTCCCCTTCGTATTTCTGTAGACATTGTTAAGCTGCTGTGCAGGTGTAGAGGGACACTTAAGACAAGAGGAAATTTTGTACAGACTACCAGCAAAATGGGGGAAGAGCAGCTTGACAAGACTAAAGCAGTTTTTCACATTTGGCACTGCAGCCCTGAACCTTTCTCGACATTATCCCGCAGAGCTGTATGCGAGAAGCGCATGTCTGACTCAGTCAGAGAATACAATAGGTAATTACCTGGAGAATTTACATTGGGTGAGTGGACGCCGTGTGTCTTGCCTCCTGCAAGCTCTACCCAGGCAGCACCCTCACCTGAACCAAACAGAGTATTTCCAGAGCTGAGAACGCAGCTTTCCTGTAAGAGAAAGGCTTCAGTTAGACATAGGGATGTGTTAGAACACATTAAAAGGCGTTTCTGCGCAGCCATTTTACACTGAATTGCATTAAGAGATCATATCATGTGGGAGTATAGCATTTGTAAAAGCCTGCTTAAAGACAGAGGAAGATATTTATGTGTAAACTTATTTAACAAAGAATTTTAGCAACACTGAAACAAATGCTGGTATTTATTAAATGTATTAATACGAGGTAATTTGCAACCTGTGTGTAGAAGACTGCACAAGTGACTTTTACTTTTCTGATGTATTACTCTTCAACGGTGCCCGTGTTTCTCATTCATTTTAATAGTAATTAAAGAAAAGGTTGCCTATTTGCACTGAATTAAAAGATCAAAATCAATCCCTGCTGGAGTTCAGCCTTATTCTCTATGCAGCAACAGAGCTAGAAATGAGTTATATTCAACTCAGGTGTGGTTTCAAGTGTGCCCCAGCCTGCTGAAGGTAGAAAAGTGGTTCATTTATAATTAAGAGCTAAGATTTATTGGGTCCTGTCGTTTTGATATATAATGCATCTCAGGAAGACTGGTTTATGTCCCTACTGTTTTATTGGTCCATTATGGTTCTGTGTATGGCTTTTTTCTGTCATGAAGACCAAACACAGGCATGGGAGCTTCTAAGAGCAATCAGGCAGACCATTCCTAAAGAGGGCTTTCATTCTGAGTCAGTGCTGGAAATATTTCTCTGAACTTCCACTGACCTGACAGCCATCTGACTTTTCATGGGAGAAAAATAAAAGGGTCTACTGGCTCTTATAGCTGTAGTTTGGGCGCCTATGTTGAATCTTACTGTTTTATGCAATTCTGTTGCTTTGTCTTCTGTTGCAGGTTCAAATCTGGTCTGGCAGCTTTTTGCTTCCAGTTTAAATAGATCAGGTGTTTGAGATGACTAGCTGGTATCGCAAGCAAAACAGTGTGTTGAAGTCTTTGTTACCAACCTTTCGGCTCTGTTAGAAACATGGCACAATGGCCAGTACAAATTACAAGATCCTTTCTCAGAACTCCTGGCCCTGTACATTACAGAGGGCCTCGTGTAGCTGCAGGCTCCATCATTGCAGATATATTTCTCTGATGTTCTGTGTTGCAAGAGGGGCTGATTTATGAGGTGCACCACACTAGGTCTCCCATGACTAGTCTGTAGTCGCACAGGAAGTAGGACAGCCTCAACTCATATTAATTTATCACTAAGTATGAGGACTGATTTCATGTGGCTAAAGAGAAAGTAAGAAAAGATGGAGGAGATTAAGTCTGGGAGTGGAATACATAGAGTTGAGAGGACAGTGGTTATGTATAAAGTATCAGTGGCCCTTCTCCTAAGCTTACTGTAACCAAACTCATAACAACATTGGATTAAACTATTACAGCAAATTAATCTAGTACACTCAAGTGTATGTTAAACAGCCTCTTCTAGCTCAGTCAGCACTTTGTTTGCAACCAAGTGACAGAGTTACAAAATACATTACAGGACTTGTATCTGTTAGCATCCGGACAATTCAGTGTGGAAAGGCTACGTTTAAAAGTATCACAAAAATTTGAAAGTCAAAGCATGCTTTCCACAAACCATCAGCATAAAGCTACCGTGAAACTGATGCTTTTATTCTCTGAGGGCTAAAGTCATCACTGGTGACAACCCTAACCCTAGCCTAAGCTCTAATCATAACCCTGTATTTTGAGAAAAAAAATAGGCTTTGATGTGTCTCAGTTGGAATGATCATTTCTTTGTGACTTGATTGCTAAAATCTTAACTGTCAACCTGAGATTAGGGTTTGGGTCACCACAGATAATTTCTTAGGCCTCAGAGGGTTAAACTTGTGCCAAAATTGCATATCTCATCAGTCTTGTTTGTATGTTGCTTGTTTTGTTGTTGTTGTTGTTATTTAAGAAAATGAAACAGATAAATATAGGCTTTTCTACCAAATGTACAAGTTGTCAGACTTTGCAAAAGTATGTTTAGTCTCAGTTCACAATAGTTTCCCTACGGTAATATTTTCAGACTGAGCCAGAGTTGATTGAGGAAACAAATGTTGATCGTATCATGGGACCGCGGGGATACATGTATGGACGGGGCTTGAAAGGCCACTCAGAGACATCCACTCTCAGCTCGCAACCGTCAATTGATGAAGTGCGACAGCAGATGCACCTGCTGCTAGAGGAGGCTTTCAGTCTGGCTTCAGGGGGGCAGTCCACATCTGGAAGGCACTCCCACCACCACCAACCAAACCACTACAACCCCTGCGCCGCCTCCCCTCCCTTATGCAGATGTGGTGACCAGTGCACCGGGTACAATGAGCTCTGGACAGGGAGGCCTCCAGTGGGTGCCATCTTATGGTACAGATATGTATCAGTGTAGCCTGCCTGAACCAGTAAGTTGGCTGAGAATCACTTGTGCTCTCTAATACCTGTAATAAAGAAACGTTAACCCTAAATGGCTTTCACAATCTGTTTAAGGCCTTTCGCTTCACCCAGCTTCCTGAGGCCATGGGTTCTCCTCCCCCTTTACCACCTCGCACTGGGCCCCCTCCTGGGACTTCTCTAAGACGGTAATGCTGAAGATATACACGAGCACAGCTGCAGACAGACCGTCATACTGCTGCCTGTATTTCCCAAAACCCATAAGATATTCAACATTTATTCATATTTAAATGCATATTCAGGGACTAGATAGTCACTGGGTGATGTACTGTGGCCAGCGCGATTTTAGGGCTTGTGTAAATTTTAATATTGGAGCAGTGCATTGAGAGATGGGAAGAATGTTAATAAGGTGCCCACTTTTTCACTCAGCATGTGTCTGCCATCTAGTGGTGTAGTATTGCAGCATGTCTTTGTTTATTGCCTCTCCAATCTCTGTCCAACTTAGTTCCACTTCTGACTTGGGGCCTAAGGGAAGGAGCTTAGAGACATCTGTCGCTGAAATGCAGAGTCAACATGACAACAACCCATATGGGCCAACCACTAGAGCAGCACTTCCATCTATCACTGCAGAGCAGCCTGTGTCCAACTACTCAGGTAAGCATAACAAGGAGATGACTTTGCATTTTAAAAGCAACCCACAGTGTGTTCCAGTGTGCTTAAATGCCAACATTACTTTGTCAAGAATGGAAAAATATTTGGACAAATTAAAATGCTTGAGGTGAAAAGCTGAAATCTATGAACCCACAAATGAAATGAGTCAGTGCCACTCTCTCTTCTCTATTTTTCACAGGAAACCCAATCACGGCTGTCTATGCCATCCCAGCCACGAGGCCCGGTTACTCAGAATACTTTGTGTCCACACCGCCCACCTCCTACCACAGTCCCTCTTGGATGTCTTATCCACCTGAACCCGAGGATGTGCCGCCACAGTGGGCAGATTCTGTAAGGAAGCTCATTTTGCCCGAAGCACCCGAGACTGCAGAATAATTAATGTACAGCGGTAGAATGTCGTTACCAGATGTCGGAATTAAACAGGACAGTCCGGCTTAAGCTGTTGTCCCATAGCTCCAAGAGATCCTTGGACTAATAATTAGATCTTTAAAATAAACTCCTCCAAATGAATTTCTTGAAGGATTAAGAATAAATCAAGACTCTGAACAGGTTAGAGAATGGCTACAAACATAACATACATGTAAGGTTGTTTTTTTTTGTTTTCTCTTATTTTCATACAGTTTCCTGAAACACACTATTAATATGATAAAATATATTAGATAATATTAAAATGCTTCTCCATAAGTTCAATTCAAGCCCAAAGAGCCATAAAGCGTGGTACTGAACTGACATGAATTAATAATAAAAAGTCGCGTAGTTGGGATACCCCTCCCCATTAAACATTTTTTTTGTCCTTTGTCTCATTATGGAACTGACATTGATCCAAAACACATTTTCTGCCCAGTCTTTAACTTTGAAGATGACTGGAACTCACTTAACTTAGTAGCTGTTAAGCACAGTCCTAAATGTTCTTTGTTTTTCATTACAATTGGAAAGGCTCCATTTGTCTTGTTAGATGTGTTATTGCAACCCGTGTGGCCTATGTGTCCCTCCCTGCCTGCACTCTCCCTGTTTGTATGAAATGTTTTTTGTCTTTTTTTTTTTTCTTGTCTCTTTGCCTGTTTCAACCAAATGCATTCATGCAGTGTCTTTTTGCAGAACCAGTGTCATTTAGAAACCATTTGCTGAACTGAATTTATGGCTGGCGTTGAGTGGACACAACAAAACACTGGGGTAGTTGAGCACATTTCTTAAATGAACACCTTTTTAAAAAATTTACTGTTTGCTTTTTTTCCCTTTTTTTTTTTTTAGTTTTGTGGTGTGTAATGCTGACACTTAAAATTTGTGTCTTCATGCAAGAGTAGATTTTTGTTCGAAGCAATGTTTGAATCAAGTTGCATCTTAGTTTAATATTTTTGTAGAGCTCCACACTCATTACTTTCCTTGTTACGTTGGTCCATTTTTTGTATATTTTGCGTTATCACCCATTCTTTTAAATTAGTGGTTCAAGAGAAACTGTTCACTCAGCAAGATGGAAAACTAACGAATATTCTGTCTTCTAACAAAGTCATCTTTAGTGGGCAGTAGTAATGATGTTTCTGTATTTCTGATGTCCTGTTCATCTTGTTTTTCAGGTGCCCCTGCCTGGGTACGTAGAGGCTTTTCCTCATCCTCGCTACCCACAGGGGAGCCCCACCAGGCTGCCTCTGCAGTATAACCAGACACTGGAGCAGCCACCACCTGCCCCAAGCACATCATCCCAGCAAAGTCTACCCCAGGTGCTGAAGGACATGGACAGTATGCCCCTGAGCAGCCTCTCCACCTCTGCACTTGTGCAAGCGATCCGACAGGAGGTGGCAAAGCTAGCGAAGAAGCAGAATGACATGTTTGAGTTCTAGGTTTGATTCTGCTCCCATGTGTGCAGGACATGCACACAGTGGTGGCATTCCTATGGACAGATTTTTGATGTTTGTACTCTATAACAGACTGATGTTCTTTATCCACTGATGATCCACTTATTGATTTCTTTTCATACACCATTGATGTTTTTTTTAGCTCCTGACTTTAGGGAAATGAACAAAAGATTATTGCCATCCTCTGTTGATGATGTCCAAAGTAAGTACACACATCTCTCTGTAGATATGTCAATAGGAGACGCTAAATATGGAAAATGTCTTTTTTTCCCATGATCTCAATTTTTTTGGTAATCAGAGTTAATTGAGAAGAGACAACCCCGTAGCGTTATTGTCTGTACTGAGAGGACCAAATTCTTCCTGTCAGATGGGTAAGTATAAACCACAGTGTATATGAGCATGTACAGTATAAGGACATTGTGTATCTAATCTCCTTTTATAGAACGTTAGCTTGAACAAGATGGGCTCGATCAATATCTGCTAATATCCGAATCCATACAATATCAAACCAGTGCATCGCTTTTTAATGTTTGTTTGCAGATCACATAATAACACCAATAACAACAAATGCTTGTTATCTTTGGTGGACTAATATTGTTTTTCTTTATTTAGTTTAAACTAGTTTCTTTAAATTAAGAAATGGTTTAAATACAGTGAATGGGTATTTGTGTTTTCAGTTTAACCCAAGTTAACATGACGATGCATCCATGATGATGTGACTGATGAACTGTATATCTCCGTGTATGCAAAGTGAGAGAATCATTCATGACTGCAGTATTTGTTGGGTGTTCAAAAAGTAAATTCACTTGGTTAGCATTAAGAGGCCTTTCCTTTGAACAGTAATAGGTGGTTATTATAGTATATTACTGTTGTCAAATACTTAACCATATGTTTGGCTTTTTTAATGTCGAAAACACAAACACTTTGGCTTTTGCAAACCCAAATGAACAACTTTGAAGTCAAATTTATATGCTCAGCTGGATTTTTATACTTTATCATTTGCCGATGATTCAGCACACCTACTCTACAATTTCAAATCCTTAAACAAAATCCAGTCTCTTAACTTCTAGTAGTATCGGCATCGTTTCTTGTGAAGTTCAACTATAAAGATAGTGAGTATATGCTTGTTTACTGCCCCTAAAGCATCTCGATGGTCTCAATGAGCACATTTAATGAATAAAATGCCACGTTTGTTTAAAGTACTGACACATAATGAGGTTCTGCATCACCGCTCCCATTCAGAGGTTTAAGCGCACAAGCCATCGTGTCATGGTTCAGAAACAGTGTTCAAGATGAACATATCACTGTGGATCATCATTGTGCCCTGGAGTCATGCTATAGAAGACAATTACCTTCATTTTTTTGGGAAGTTTTCATATGTAATGAAACTAAGCCAGGTCATACATAACAATATAAAACATGTCTGCCAACCTTGAAAGTTAAAATGTGAGTATTAATGATAGTGATCCAGGCCCAGTAAATACAGGATATATAGTATATAAATTTACAGGTTAAATAAAAGACCAAGCCTTGAATAGTATAAAGGACACTTATTACAATTATTTTAGCAAGGACAAGAAGAAAGGCGGTCACGATTATTCTCTAGAAAAATGAAAAGAAATCCTGCTGACTTTTCTAATGGGATGGGTTTAATTTAGCCATCTTTATGAACTTTGTCAGCCTCATGTTAGGACACCATATTAGGCCCCAAAACAATTTTTTAAAACTCCCATTGAAGGAATTCTTTCCTCATATTTCACTGTGGCATGAAAGGCTCTAGCAGGTTAGTTTGAACTCTTCATGCATAATTGCTTGCACGGGAACTGAAAGTGGGACTGACTGAAGATGAGTGCATGTAGGCCTACACCAGGGATGCTGCAATATATTTGTATACACACTGAGATGGTATAGATTGCCTACTTTTATTGATATTCACGTGGAATGCTTTGCTGATTATATTCTGATCAATGCTGTTGTGGGTAAACAGTCAGTGGTGACATAAAGAGTGAAGATGCCTTCAAATCATTGTTTCCTTTTATAGAGCAGTATTGCTTTTTCAGCAATCCTGGATGAATTTAGCCTTTTTGCCTCATGATTACTTAAAAAGTCTCCTTCTTTTCCAGTAACTGTTATTTTATACTCATCCCTGTTGATGTGTATGTAGTAATGAAGAAATCTTGTCTGTCCTAAACTCAACACAAACTGTCTGCTTGTTTTTATTAATTTTACTGATTATTCAGACAAGCACTTGTGTCTTAAAAGCTGTAGGTAATACAGTGAAACCATTTTTGTGAGTACCAGAAGTGAAGACCTTTCCACATTCTCATGCTGGATATCTGAGAAAACTTAGTGATATGAAACAAAGGGGTTTTAGGATATTATTTGATTTGAAAAAAGATGAGTATTTATTCTCTAAAATTAAATGCAAAGTGAACTAAATCTATTAAAAAAAAAATCAGTGTTTTTTTTTCTTCCAGGCTGGTTTCTTATTTCTCTTCATCTGTTTGACCTTGTTAGATTCAATGATCCTCTCATATTACTCTGACAGAGAGATGAAGAGAATGATTGAGAGGGACAGAAGTTTTAGCCCAGATGATTAAAATGGAATAAAAGGTTTTATTTGGAGAGCAAATCAGTCCCTCCATCGTTTTTTACTTATTGTGTAACCATGTGTGTAGTTGTTATCTTGGTATCCTAATTTACTACATGTTCCGTAAGACATGCTAACATGGAGACACAGACGTGGTTGATGGTAATTCAGAAAAACAACAGATGGTTATAAATGTGTAAAGTAACTTGTTTTCATAGACTGCATGGTTGTGAGCCAACAGCTTTTGCTGTGTGCAGCCACCAGAGGCAGCACTACGCAACTGATTACAAAATTGAAGCTTTCTTTCATTTTAAAAGTTTTTGGACTCAAATAGCATGACAGCCACATCCATGATTGCCATATTGCCAGGAAATATGTCTCTCCTGTAAGTAAGTTGCTTATTTTTGAATACCGTAGAAGAAATAAGCTCCGTAAGCTAACACAGCTGATTTAAATGGCTAAATTACCTCATCAGCATGTCTTGAAGTTCTCCAGAGGCCTGGTAATGAACTAATCGTTTGATTCAAGTGTGTTGACCCAGGGTGAGATCTAAAACCTGCAGGACACCGGCCCTTGAGGCCTGGAGTTGGAAACCCCTGTTGTATGGCAGCATGACTTTAGTAGAGATACATAGTATATGAGCAGGGTTCTGGGGCACACTTGGCATATTACTATAGGTGAATTCACCTGCAACAATTGAAAGCTTCAACAGGCCTTAACTTGCATAAACTCAAGCAAATATTTAAAAAGTAATGTGTCTTATAATATAGAAAGCTGTCTCTTGTCAAAGACTTCTTTGACCTGACTCGGTTCTGTAACACATCAGCAAACTGTGGAGCAAGCATATTCTTGTTTGTGTTACCTGCCAGTTCAGGTCCATGAATAAAAGTGTCATTTCTGACACTACTGCAGAAGTTTGCAGCAAGCTCAACACCCATCAGAGTAGCTAGAGATTATATGAGCTAAGACCCAAAGTGCCATTCTGATGCCACTGAAAGTGCTACAGCTGTGACAGGTACCAGTGCAGCAAAAACTATTCTGTCATGTTGACAGGTGAGCATACTCAAATTTACTCTACTCACATATAGTGTTTGACTTTGCACACATACCATTTTTGACAGTTGAGCTGCAGTGAATCATATCACTGGCAGGGCGGATTGAATGTAGCTTTATTTTCCTTCAGTACTAATAACAGTCATAATCATACTGTACGCAAACGCGCGTTCCAACTTCTTATCTGGTGCGCGTCTTTTATTTTGACCCCGAATGCGCTCCTGCGGACCACTTGTGTGCAGCCCTGCCTATAACCATCCCTTTCTTGTTGAAAAAAATGAGGTAAAATTACCTAGAGACTCAGGTGTATGTCTTTGTTGGCTATATTTACAGCAGCTGTAGGGAATGGAGTTAAAGTCATTTTGCTTTTCTAAAATCAGAAATATTAACAAGCACTTCTGGCAATGTAGCCTAATATACATTCTACCACAGAGATGCTTTCAGGTGCGGGTCCCAAAACAGAACAGAAGAATCTGAGATGAAATATTTAAAAAACAATTACAGACTTTTACAGAAATTTCTCTGAACTTTAACATAAATTTAACATAACTAAAGAGCTAGCATATTCTTGTTTCAAGGTCAAATGACTTGTGTTAATTCACTATAATACAGTGCTTCTGTTCATATGACCTTATTGACAAAAATACTTATGTATGTCATATTTTATTATCGTCATGTTTTGTGTACCAGCATGAGCGCCAGGCACTGTTGCCTTTTGTATGTGTGTGTGTGTGTGTGTGTGTGTGTGTGTGTGTGTGTGTGTGTGTGTGTGTGTGTGTGTACAAAAATAATGCATTAAATCTGTAGTTCAGTATTTTACCACTAGGGCTCTCCCTAGTGCCATGCAAACAAACGCCCTCTCTCTGGAAATGGTAAATAGGCTTCCAAGTCAGAACACATCTAAATCGCCTTTACTTGCATAAAGAGAGAGCTGCACTGGTAATATGCACAAAATGTTACATGAGATGGACACAGTATCAGGAAAATTATACAAAACTGGATTATACGATACAATTAAGTAGAATGAACCAAAAGTAAACGAAATTTTATCATGTATCAAGTTGCATTTAAATCTTTTTTTAGTAATGCAATCTGCTCAAGAATAGATGCACAGACGGGAATATACAAGACTGAGATGTTTCTTGCCTGTTGTTGCCATAAACATCAGAGTCTCCTTCACTCAAAAATCAAAGTGACGTCTTTTTGTTCACCTTTGTTGTGCAGATTGAAGTATGTTCAGGATCAAATAGCAGAAGGTTGTTTCAGATGAATCTGCTGAGAGTGGGAATTTTGTTTGTGACTTGTAAATGCAATCTTGATTTGTGACATAAGAAAAACCAGGGACTAAACCATAATTCAACTTAAACCAGTGTGATGTGAAACCTTGCAGCTGCTGTGGTTTCCAAATGCACAGTTCAATCCTGTTAGCCCCATGAAAGATGTATATGTATTCGTTAGAAGTTAGACCACCATCATCATTCATATGACACATTCTAAAGTCAGCTCTGTGTCATAACATGTCCAGTTTGTGTCCATATATACTGCATATATTAGTTATCAATGCAAATACACATACACATCCAAATACACATTAAGGTTTGAAGAAAAGTGGGGAGACTTAAAACTTTTGGCAGATTTTAATGAGAATACCAAATCTGTACGGTTCAGATGCTTTTGTCCATCACCATGCTTTGATGTTGCTGCACAATTTTTTAGGCCTCATATCCACACCTCTGCTTTTGTGTCCCCTCTCCTGACTAACTCTTATCTATTTCCCCGAATCCTCGTTTAATTCAATGAAATGCACAACGCATGGAAGCAGTCGTTCTTGTATTTGATATTCTTTTTCCCAGGTAGAGTGTAGATATAGTTAGAGCCTAATTTGTCAGTTGTAATTAAATGTGATCGAACTCTGAAGGTCCATTATCTCTAATAAAGGCTGCTTAAAGTAATTATAATGCAGACTTCTGAGAAGACATCAGCACAGAGATTTGATAATGATCAGTACAAGGACCAGTCAAGGGTGGAAAACAAACTTGAAAGTAACTTAACAAATTTCCTGTGATACCACAAGTGACATTTTCTCACATTGATATTCACAACTATGTTTGCACTTTTAACTCGTAAACTGAATTCTGACTGAGGTATTGCTGGGAGCAGAGAGAATTTGTGAAATGAAGTGTAACTGTTTTGGTATTAGTATGCGTCAGGAGGTCCCGATGAGGCAAATGATACATCACTTCGCCCTTAAATTACCTAATGACAACGGATATCCCCAAAGATAACATTTTCTTCTTGTATCCATATCATTTGATATGGATGAAAATGACACATTGTTTTCCACTGACAGAACTCTTCCCCAGTGGTATAATTTTAATATGTGAACTCAGTGGGTGGTGGATTGAAAGTCAGACTCAGAACCAGACAGACTGAGTCTCATTAACTGAGGCGCCTCTGAACTACACGGTGGAATAGAACGTTAAAATTATCTTAGTGCCTGTCGTGCCTCTGCAGCATATGCTTCAGTTTGCATGAATCATGCGCGTACAGTAAATAAAGCAATACAACTTTTTCTGTGTCAGGGCAGTTGAGCTTTAAATAGACAAACCTTTAGGGTTTTCAGTACAGTGGTTATGTGTGGTGTGATTCAGGCTGCCATTTCATGTAATTCTATTGATTATATCTGCCTACTCCAGTCGGTGCATCATAGCGAATTCCACTCTGCAGAAGTTCAGTCCACCTCCTTAAAAAAATGAGGGGACCACAGCCATGACCTGCTTACTCTAAGTTTAAAACTTTCCAAAGTTTATCACTCATAACTGACTCCATGAAGCTAAAATAACTGGATGTCCCTTTCTGCCTTTGCTTTTCCTTTCATGCACTCTCATATTTAGTGTTTTTGCAGTACGCTACTCTAGGGGCTGTCAAAGATACTTAACAGACAAATCATATGATAATAATGTATTGCAGTTGCTGTTACATTTATATGATTGAGATTTGTGTATTTTATTACTTGTGTGACCATTTGAAAATCAAAATGTTATTAACCTTATTAAATAAATTATAAGAAATCTAAATATTTGTCTGGTTAAACTGATCAACTAATGAACTAATTTGCTTGAAATACCTTTAAGTTGACATTTATTTTTCCACCAACTTCTCTATTATCTGCCAGAGATAGTGATTAGGAGAGGACCCAGATGCAGGACACAAAGGAGTAACAAACAAGAGCAATCTGTTTAATCAAGGCTGATGATGAGATTTGCGCATTAACAAAGTCCAAAAGGTAAAAACACAAGATGCACAGTGACATAGGTCAGCTAGAGGAACCTAACAGATAAACTAGATGTGGGAGACACTGGAGGATGTATATACAGAGCACTAATTAGAGAAAGAGACACAAGTGAGGGCAGAAAAACAACCGGGGAAAGCAATCAGGGAGAAGCACAGAATCACAAAGGAGGGAGAAGACAGGAAGTAAAACTAAAATTAAACACAAAAGAAAACAAACCTTCAAGATAAAACAGGCAATAGCTAAAGGACACTAACAAAGACCTGAAGAAAATTACTGAATAAGAAATCAGGGACAAGCGAACACAGCAACATAGACTAATACAGTTACTAATAATATACAGGGTGGGCCATTTATATGGACACACCGTAATAACATGGGAATAATAATAATAATAATAATAATAATAATTAACTTTATTTATAAAGCACACTAAAAAACCAAGGTGCTTGACAAAAATAAAATAGGAAAAGGGAGATGGGAGGGAAAAGAGAAAGGACCTGGCACG